CGAGAAGCGTAAGTGTGCCGTGCCGCGGCTCCCGGCGCTCCCACCTGACAGAGTTTTTGCCCTCATCGTGATTAAGGGATTGCAATTCCCACGCCATTCCCGTGCAGTTTTACTGGTGTCAGTGGAAGAGACGATTCCCCTGGCAGGATCAGGCTTCGGTTCCCCCCGCTGTCAGGCTGGTGGGGAGTGGGCAGATTGCCTGGTATCCCAGCCCCTACCCGGGGCCGTGAGTTGAGGCTGCCTTAGCGCGGGATAAAGTGTTGCCGTCTCTTCCCCACCTGGCGGCCCCCTGCGCGTTCCCCTTCTCGTGTTCCCCGAGCCCGTCCCCGCCGTCATCACCTGCCGAGATGCGCTGCTGCACATGCGGCGAGGGTGGACACCCACCGGCGACCCCAGAAGGCGACCCTGCCTGGGCGCCCGCAGGCACTTGGCCTTTTACACGCACGAAAACTGGGCCAGGAGGTTCTGCGTTCTCCTGAGGGTTATGTACCCTGGCAGTTTGAATGTGCTGAAGGTCGTCTTTCCATTTCTGTCACTAATTGGTGCTCCAGATATTCCGGTGGGAGGGTCAGCGCCCTGTCACACCTCGTGGGGTGGCAGCGAGTGTCTCTGCTCAGGCGGTTGCTCCGTGTTACACCGTAAACCCCATTCCCAGCGCTCCCCTTCCTCGGGGCCGTGCGCTCCCAGCCCTTCCCTCGGGCTGCTCCCAACCTGGCCGGTTCCACAGGGAACGGTCCCACTTTGCTAAAAAACCAGGAGAATAACCCGGTGAGCGGAGCGAGTGCTCGGGGCTCGGCTCGGGGTGCTCGGGCCGGTGGGTGACGCGGGGAGCGGGGCCAGGCTGGAGGTAATCCGTGTCCCCGGGATCTAAAACCGCGGGGCAGGCGGAGTGGTTGCCGTGCACTTTGCTGACTCCCGAAATGTGTGGGCTGCTCGGCCTCTGATTGAGTTACTGTTAATTGTCAGGCACTCTCATTTCGGAGGATGTCATAACGATACACGTGGGTTTAAGGAAGTGGTGGGAGCACCAAAGCGCGCTCTGGAAATAGCGTATCACACGGCCCTCGGTGCAGCCTCAAATATCAAAAGCTGCTTTTGAAAAATTTCAGCCTAAGTAAGTTATTCGCTGCTAACTAAGCAGTTGCTCGTTAGACCCTAGAGTTGCCCGGCTGCTGAAGCCTTCGCGTACCATCCTCCCCTGGCCTGGAAGAGGGGCTGAGTTCATTTATTTCTTTCTGCATTTATTTCCCACATGAAGCAATGTTTTCTCAGTTTTCCTCCTGACCGTCTGTAATCTCCTGTGTCTGCGTGAAGCCACTACCATTGTCTTCGGTGTCTGCCGTCCCTGCTGCACGGGTCAGCTGAGGAATAACGTGAGGTTTCCTTTCTTACTGGTCCGCAGACGGGCCAAGGCTCTGAGTCAGGCTGAAGCACGGGGGCTCAGACAGCAGCTCCGGCCGAGCTGAGCGCCGCGTCTGCATCGTGTCCTGAGCTGTGACACAGAAATGTCTCTGCTGTGACACAGAAACAGCTGTCACCTTCCGCAGCGGTTTGGTGGAAGTGCCTCTGTCCTTTGCAGGCGGTAGTCTCGGGGGCGAGGGACGGGGAGCCCTGCAGGAGGCGGTCACTTTGGTGCTGCCGCCTCAAAATAGGCGTTGGAAGAGGTAAAAATGGCTCAGAGGGGCCCCAAAGCGCAACGGGAACCGGGAAGGGATGCTGCGGGGGTCATTCGTCTGGGAATCAAAGACATAATAAGACCTGATAGCTGGAAGTCAAAGCTAGACACCTTCAAAATGGACATTTTTTAAGACTGAGAGCAATTTAACTGTAAGAAGTTAAGCGGGACAGTCAATTTTCCATTACTTGAAATCTGTTTGTCGAAGTCAAGTATCTTTCTAAAATCTTCACTAAAATTCATCATACAAAGCTGTTGTAAGTCAGAAATTATAATGTTCAACAGACAGGATCATGCAAGGGAGCAGATTCGATAATTATAGTGATTGTTTCATTGTTAAACATCCACATTTTTGTCCACAGCTGATCCAGGAACGGAGTGGATATTGTGAAACAAAGTGTCGTTAACTCAGCAAAGACACCATTTTGTTCCTTATCGGTTCTTCATTATAAACAGCGTTTGGGCACTTTGCTGGTATTTTGTTGTGCAGAGTGCTTTTGTCATCGCTTCTGTGGTCCCCGTGGATAACTGCCATCAAGGTGCCTGGGTGAGGGTCTCAGGCAGAAGCAGCCGCCGCGCAGAAGCCGGAGGATGCAGTGGGGCTCCTGCAGCTCCTCCTGACTGACTGTCCAGTAAGATTCCAGTGTCCGTTGCTGGGCTCCCTGGGTGAAGAAGAACGGGGAACTGCTGGAGAGGGTCCAGCAAAGGGTACAGAGATGCTGAGGGGACTGGAGCATCTTTCTTACAAGGACAGGCTGAGGGACTTGGTGCTGTTCAGTCTGGAGAAGAGAAGACTGAGGGGGGATCTTATCAATGCTTAAAGGGAGGGTGCCAGAGGGATGGGAACAGTCTTTTTTCAATGGTTCCCAGTGATAGGACAGGAGGGAACGGGCATAAACTGGAGCGTAGGAAGTTCCACCTCAACCTGAGGAGGGCCTTCTCTGCTGTGAGGGCGGCAGAGCAGTGGCACAGGCTGCCCAGAGAGGTGGGGGAGTCTCCCCCTCTGGAGCCATCCCAAACCCGCCTGGACGCCGTCCTGTGCCACTGCTGGAGGTGCCCCTGCTCTGGCGGGGGGTGGGATGGGGGAGCTCCAGAGGGCCCTTCCCACCCCCACCAGTCTGGGATTCATTCTGCGATTCACGAGGGTTTGGGTAAGTGATGAAAACTCAGCCTGGCTTCAACGTGCCGCTGGTTCCCGAGCGGGAGGAGTGGGCACGGAGAGCAGCTGAGCCGCTCAGCAGCGGGAGGGTTTGTGGCGTAGCGAAGGGAGGACTGCAAAAGATGGACGAGTCCGGCTCTCCCTGACACCCCTCCTTTGCAGAAAGGTAGTTTTGGGGCTCTTGGAGAGAATTGCTGGTTTGGTTTGTTAACGGTGGCTCTCTCATCGGCGGGAGCTGGGCCCCGGTGCCAGCAGAGAGGGGACGCAGTCAGGAGCCAGGGCTGGTGGCCAGTGGCCGGTGGCCAGGGCTGTGCTGCTGTGGGGGTCGGGGGTCGACAGCGAGAGTGTGGCCACTGGGAATCCCTGCACCGGCTCCGCTGGTGGCTTCCAAAGGGGCTCTTCTGCGGGACGGAGAAGAAACACCCTTGAGCTGATGGGGAGTTCTGCTCTTGAAGCCGTACGGCCAAATTAAATCTCACAGCGAAGAACCCTTCACGTAAGCTTTTAAGAACATGAAGTGAAATACAGCATCAGCCTTTTAAAAAAGAGGAAATAAAATAAAGCGAGAGTTTCAGAGTCAGCCATTCATCTCCCTTCCTCTCTAGATGAAACGCTCCCGGTTGCGTGGCCGGTGGGGGTTTGCTGCAGTGTTGGCTGGCAGCTAGCTCTGAGATTAGGCCGACAATCGGCACGGATTTCTTAGGCTTACAGAGCTTATTTTCGGACTTCAGCCTCGGGCAGAAAATGTTTCGAAATAATAAGACGTAGTGTTCGGCCGCAGTCCCTGGGCGCAGCTGGGCGCTCCCCGCAGCCCCCGGTGCGGCCGTTCGGTGCGGTGGGCTCCGCCGGGCGGCCCCGGGGCTCGGCCACGCTGATGCATGATGGTGGCAGTGTGTCACAGCGGCGTTACAACCCGCGCTGGCAGGGGCAAAAATAGGGGGGGAGTTTGGGT